ATGCGCAAAACCTCTACACTGAAATACACAAAACACTGCCGAGAAAAATTAAAGGCCATCCAATACATGGACGTCCAAACTCCCGCACATAGATTAGAAATTCGATGCTGGTAAGATGTCACTTCTAGCAGATTTTTTGATGCATGTGAAAATGGACAAGTTGATTCTAAAATCCATATGAAAATAGAAAAGAACTTAACCAAAACAATCTTGAAAAAGAGGTCTCAAGCCACCAGATGTCCCAACTTATTATAAAGGTGCAGTAACAAAGACTATGGCACTGGTCCAAAAATAGACAAGGAGACCAATGGTTGGCAATAAAGATGAAGACGTAGATCCAGGGGCCGGCCCTGTGGCCGAGTGGTTAAGTTCGCATGCCCCGCTGCGGTGGCCCAGGCTTTCGCCAGTTTGGCTCCTGGGTGCAGACCTAGCACCACTCATCAAGCCATGCTGAAGCGACATCCGACATAGCAGAACTAGAGGCACCTACAACTAGAATAGACAGCTGTGTACTGGGAGGCTTTGGGGAGAAGAAAAAGAAGAAGAAAAAGAAGATTGGCAACAGATGTTAGCTCAGGTGCCAATCTTTAAAAAAAAAAAAAAGACAGATTCAAATATATATGATCTCCTAATTTATGAACAGTGGGTAAAGTATATTCTTTTTTTAAAAAAGATGCTCTATGCTTCAAAAATTAAAAATAAAAAAGGAACTTTGACTTCTCCTTAACATCATATACAAAAATTCCAGATGGACAGTTGATATAAAAGTAAAACATAAAATAATAAAATTTATAGATGATAACATGAAAAAATCTTCATGACCTTGAGGTAGGCACAGATTTCTTAGTATGACACAAAATGCACCAACTATAAAAGAAAAACACTGATAAACTGTACTTTATAAGAATTAAGAACTTATGCCATTGAAAGATACCACTAAGAGAATGAAAAGGCAGACCACAACCCGAGAGATGTTTGCAATACTTTCATCTGAGAAACATCTCCTATTCAGAATATAAAAACAACTCTTACAAATCAAGAAGGAAAAGACAAATAGCACAATCAAAAAGAAAAAACCAACAGGCAAAAACCTGAACAGGTAATTTACAAAAGAGGATATCCACAAGAATATTCAAAGCACCAATCCTTCTCAAATTCTCCCAAAAAATGGAAGAGGAGAGAACACTTCCAAACTCATTCTACAAGACCAGCTCTATCTTGATGTCAAAGCCAGATGAAGATACTACCAGAAAAGAAAACTATAGATCAATATTCCTTATTAATATTGATGTAAAAATCCTCAAGAAAATGCTAACAGAATTCGACAGTGCGTTAAAGAATTATACACCATGACCAAGTGGGATTTATGCCTTGAATGCAAAGCTGGTTCAACATATGAAAATCAGTCCATGTAAGATACCACATTAACAAAATAACCACATGATCATCCCAATTCACGCAGAAAAAGTGCTTGACAAAATTCAACACCCTTTCATGATGAAAACACTCAACAAAATAGGAACAGAAGAAAACTAACATTATAAGGCCTATGTGAAAAACCCACAGCAAACATCATACTCAATGGTAAAAAACCAAAAGTTTTTCCTTTAAGACCAGGAGCAAGATAAGGACGCACACTTTTGCCACTTGTATTCAACGTAGTACAGAAAGTCGTAGCCAGAGCAATTAGACAAGAAGATTACACACACACAATTGTTAATAAATGAATTCAGCAAAGTTGCAGGATACAAAATCAACACATGAAAATCAGTTGCACCTCTCTGCACTAACAATGAACAATCCAAAAAAAAATTAAGAAGACAATTTTACAGTCATGCTTTGCCTAACGACAGGGATATGTTCTGAGAAATGCGTCAGGCAACTTTGTCATCATGCGAATGTCATAGAGTGTACTTACACAAACCTAATGTTCTAGCCTGCGACACACCTAGGCTATATGGTACTAATCTTATGGGACGGCCGTTGTATATGTGGTCTGTCGTCGACTGAAACGTTGTCATACAGTGCATGACTGTATTTACAACAGCATTAAAAAGAATAAAATACTTAGGAATAAACTTAATCAACGAAGCAAAAGACTTGTACACTGAAAACTACAAAACATTGTTGAGAGAATTAAAGACTTAAATCAATGGAAAGACATCCTGTGTTCATGGATTGAAGACAATATTGTTAAGATGTCAATACTACTCAGAGACCTATAGATTCAATGCAATCTCTATAAAAAGTCAAACATTTTTTTACACAAATAGAAAAATCCATCCTAAAATTCCTATGGAATCTCAGGAGACCCTGAATAGCCAAAACTGTCTTTAAAAAGAACAACATCACAACTCTCACCTTTCTTGACTTCAAAACTTACTGCAAAGCAACAGTAATCAAAACAATGTTGTCCCGGCATATAGACAGAAATATAGGCAAATAGAACAAAGAGCCCAGGAATAAGCCCTCGCATATATGGTCAAACGATTTTTCACTAGGGTGTCAAGGCCACTCAATGGAGAAAGGACAGTCTTTTCAACAAATGGTGCTGGGAAAACTGGAAATCCACATTACAAAAGAATGAATTTGGACCCTTACTTTATACTATATCCAAAAACAACTCAAAATGGGTCAAAAACCTCAACATAAGAGCTAAAAGCATAAAAATTTTGGAAGAAAATGTACAGGAAAAGCTTCGTGACATTGGATTTGGCAATGATTTCTTGAATATGACACCAAAAGCACAGGCAGCAAAAGAAAAGACAGATAAATTGCACCACATCAAAAATAAAAACTTCTATGCATCAAAGGACACAATCGACAAAGTAAAAAACAACCCACAGAATGGAAGAAAATATTTGCAAATCATATATCTAACAAGGAATTAAGACGCAGAATATATAAAGAACTCCTACAATTCAACAACAAAAAAAGGAACGATCCTATTAAAAAACGGGCAAAGGACATGAATAGATATTTCTCCACAGAAGATATACAAATGGTCAATAAGTACATGAAAAGATGGTCAACATCAAAATCATTAGGGAAATATAAATCAAAACCACAATGAGCTACTACTTCACATCCATTAGGATGGCTATTATAAAAAATCCAGGAAATAACAAGTATCAGCAAGAAAGTGGAGAAATTGGAACTCTTGTGCATTGCTGGTGAGAATGTAAAATGGTGCAGCTGCTATGGAAAATAGTATAGTAGTTCCTCAAAATATTAAACATGGACTTAGCATATGATCCAGCAATTCCACTTCTGGGTATATACCCAAAAGAACTGAAAGCAGGCACTCTAACAGATATTTGTACCCTCGTATTCATAGAAGCATTATTCACAACAGTCAAAAGGTGGAAATAACCCAAATGTCCATCAATGGATGAATGGATAAACAAAATGTGCTATACGCATACAACGTAATGTCCTTCAGCCTTGAAAAGGAAGGAAATTCTGACATATTCTACAACATGGATGAACCTTGAAGATATTATGCTAAGTGAAATAAGCCAGTCACAAAAGGACAAATTCTGTGTGATTCCACTTATATGAGATACTTAGTCCTACTGATAGAGGCAGAAAGTAGAATGGTGGTGCCAGGGGCTGGGGAAAGGGGGAATGAGAAGTTATTGTTTAACGGGTACAGAGTTTCTGTTTGGGAAGATGAAAAAAGTTCTGGAGATGGATGGTGGTGATGGCTGCACAAGGTGAATGTACTTAATGCCACTGAACTATATGCTTAAAATGGTAAATTCTATGTTATGCATGTTTTATAACAATAAAATAAAACTAAAAAAAAAAGGATGATCAGAGATGCTTAAGAAACAGTCATTAAATTGATACATAAATTGTGGTATACTTGCATACAATGGAATACTATATAGTAATGAAAAAGAGCTACTGCTACAAACAACAACATGGATGAATCCCACAGACACTATGTTGAGTGAAAAAACTACATATAAAAGAACAGAGAATCTCTAATTTCATTTGTATGAAGTTTCAAAAACAGGCAAAACCGAACTATAGTGATAAAAGTCAGGACAGTAGTTATTGACAGGGATGAGACATGAGGGAGCCTCCTGGGGTGCTAGAGATGTTCTAGGTCTTTTCTGGGTGGTGGTTACACAGGTGGATACAACATGGAAAAAAAAATTTCATCAAAGTCTTCACAAAAGATTTGTGTACTTTATGTTCAATTTATCTCAATTTTATAAAATGAAGGAAAATAGTAATGATAGAAGGACAATGCTGGAAGGGACTCTAGAAGGAAGCTGGTCAACATGTCTAACAAACGCTATTGGGGATTATGGAGCGAGTGGTGCTTGGCCCATATTTTGAGAAGATTGAACTAAGGAGACACACTTTAGCAACCAAGGGAGAAAGACACTTCTGCCCCTGTTGGGATGACATTTAAATAAGCCGCCCCCACTTTTGTAATACTTAAGGGGCAAATACAAATCCCAAGTAGTCTTCTGCTCTTAATACAAGGTACGCAGAATCACCAGTCTCATAACACAGGGAAAGGTATAAACACTGCAATTTATATCGTTCTATAAACTCCAACTCTCTAGTCCAAAATCCAAGAGAAACTTTTACTTTCCAATAGAAAGGACATTTGTGATGCTACAACAATCCCATGACACATCAACTTTAAACCCACATCTACAGTGACACAGAAGACTGCCTTTCCCATTCAGGGTCCACATTTGCCCAACTGGAACATCACTGTAATGGGGTCTTTGGGGACTCAGACAACGTGAATCTGTGAACAGCAAGTTTTTGCCGTGACCTCGGTTTCCACATCCCCCTGTCTGGATTACACTCCCCATTGCAGAAAACTACAGGGAGGGCCTGGGGTACTTCATAAATGGCTTGAGTCTCTTGTTCCAGGGGACTTGCCCAGCCTAGCATTCTAGAAGCACCATGCCTCCCATCAGGACACTGGCCGTGTCTAGGATGTTGTGGAAGAATGAGTTTCAAGCACTTACTTTCATCATTAGAGACATTCCCCAGAGAGGTGTGGCTGGAATAACGTTTGTTTTCACTTTCATTGAGACATCTTTCAATCCAGCTCTCTAAAAAAAAAAAAGAAAGAAAGAAAATCACGGAATTGCAGAATTGCCGTGGGCGTTTGTGAAGAGACAGGAACATCACGAACGCGATAGATTTAAATGCCTGTCAACTCTCCCCTGAGATCTGCCCCAACCTGGAGCTGGATGTTCCGTGAAGCTCCACACGCACCATGGCTGAGAAGACTCGGCAGAGTAGTTTGCAGGCAAAATGGTAGCTAAAGCCCCACTTGAGTATCTCTTCGTCAAATTCTACTATTTTGGAGTATTCATAACCCAATAGTATACAACTGAGGATCATCTTCCTTTGCAAAGAAGGTATGTTCCAGAGTAGTTTGAAGAACAAAATCTGGTCAGCTGAATCACTGATGGTGGTCTGCAGACTTGTAAACTAGCAGCAGAACCTCTCCTTTGGTTGGAAACAAAAAGAAAAGCAGATAATCCCGAGGGCTCTGGCTGAAGCGGAGAAGGAGGGCAAGGAAACTTGCAACTCCCCTCCCTTTGCCCAGTGACCCCTGAACGGGCTCTTCCAAGACAGACCGAAAGACACTGCAGGAGGAGGTCTCAAAAGCTCTATAATAGCCATGTAGTACTTTTAAAATGCAAAAAACTATGACTTTTTAATCCAATTCCGAAGGCTACAAATGTACTCTGCACAATGTAACATAATGCTTATTCCACGGTCTAGCCCATTCACTATTCATTCATTCACCGTCAGCTAAGTACAGTCAGCTCTGCTAGGATGCTTGTTTTGAAAATACGAATATGTTCCAATGCAAATCACATATTAGGGAACACTCAGAGCATAGTGCAAGCTTCGTGTTTGCTTATGCTTGATTTCTTCCTTAAAAATTATTAAGTGAATGCAGAAAACCCCACGTAGCTGAACTATTCCCACAGGAACAGGCAAAATGCACGCGTGCTCACACCTCCGACGTCTACCAGCTACTTCAGTTCATCGTGTGTGTTATGAGTCACACCTGCCCAGATAACCCAACTTCTAGCTCTTCACAATAACTCACAAGCTGCAGCCCTTCCAAAGCCCGCTTCCAGAAGCAGACTTCAGGTCTTCTCCAAGGTGAAGGGCCATGTTTACTGTATTTGTGTCTCTCTTAACCATTTAACGTGTGCAGAACTGTGCTATCATTTTTATCAGGTTCCAATCTTTTGTGTGTGTGTGTGTCACTGACAAAGTTTTTGAGTGTCGTATCCCTAGCTTATTTTTCCAGTTAACTCTGTGGTTTTTATTGTGCAATTCTGCAGAACAGTGGTGATTTTCAAGACTGCATATGCGGTGTCATAGCAGAACTAACTACACCTGTGGCTGTGTGCTTCTCAACACTGCAGTGTCCTGTTGCCATCTTTATAACATGGGACTAGTATTTATTTATTTATTTTTTTTTTTAAAGATTGGCACCTGAGCTAACATCTGTTGCCAATCTTTCATTTTTTTTCCTTCTTCTTCTTCTTCTCTCCAAAGCCCCTCCCCCCCCACCCCACCCAGTTGTATATTCTAGTTGTGAGTGCCTCTGGTTGTGCCATGTGGAACGCCACCTCAGCATGGCCTGATGGGCGGTGCCATGTCCATGCCCAGGATCCGAACTGGCGAAACCCTGGGCCGGCCAAGCAGAGCACATGAACTTAACCACTCGGCCACAGGGCCGGCCCCTAGACTAGCATTTATTGAACATCTAGTTTGACATCTATTTAAACATGCCCTTTACATATGTTATGTCAGTGAATTCTGACAACTCTAGGAAGTAAAGATTTTAATTTCTATTTTTCCTAGAAAGCAATGATGCTTAGAGATTAAGTAAAGTCACTCCTTGTTATACAAAGAGCCGAGGGAAAGATTGTGAGTTGACACGTTAGGTAGCATATTGTAAGAAGAAGCCACACTGAGGAGGATGCTATGTAGAGACGGGGGAGGCAAACGCAAACAGCAGGGAGAAACGTTGAGTTTGTGTCTCGTATTTTATGCTCCAACAAACTGCTCTTTTAAAAGCAGCTTCCAAAATTGCAAATAAGTAGGGGGAAATATCCAAGGGGAGGAACAGGAGCCAGCTTGTTAAGAGGATATGGAAATCTGGTACTTCTGGGGAAACACTGAGCAGCAGAGAAATCCAAAACATTAAAACGCTACCCCTACCAGCTACCAAAGGCATAATGTAGAAACAAATGGCTTGTAATGTTTTCAAGGCTGCGATGGCACAAGGTGGGTGTTCGTCATCACATCATATCCAAACACATCTGGATACACATCTCCAGAATTCTCTTTAGGACTCTCCAGAATGTCTCCACTCAGATCTTCTAATCGCTTCGAGTCCTGGCACATTTTCCCTGGCAACAGCCATGGCTGGTTTTGGATGGCATCTACTGAAATTTGCAGCCCCTTCCTCCACCAAATCATACCTCCAAAAGCCACTCCTATGTTCCGGGCCAGGCCCTGGTCTTCCTACGTAGGTATTTACATGCAGTTACTCTCACATGCGTGTGGGCGCACACTCACGCATATACCCACCCCCCTTCAGCAGAAACGGGGAACTAAGAGAAACACTCTTCCTCTCACCCATTTGCCTGTGCCAGCATCAGGCCTGTTAAAACTGGAGTTCTTGGAAGGGCCCATTCTTGCAGGTGAGAATTCCCAGTGATTGGTGGGGCACTCTCTGAAGAACTCATGGCAACATTCCAGACAGAAGCCAGCTCTAAACATTAGGTGGGCCCAAAGAGAGCAACACTCGCCCACACGAGTCCAAAGCAAGTAAGAGCTTTCCTGGCGGCTGTGCCTCTCCTCCATACTGCCCAACCCCAACACTGGAGAGAGATGAAAGTAAGGTTACAAGAAGGGAGAGAGGGCTGGGAGTGACACAAAGAAATCTCACCAAATAACCCTTTCCCCCACCCATTGCACCTGCTCCGGTCTCTCTGACCCCATGGCCCATGCCTATAGCCACTCTGCTACCCAGCTCTGCTCCCTGGGGCAACACAGAGTAAGTGTGGTCTCTCTTGCACATGACAGATGTAAGAAGACAGCCATCATTTCTCCATTTTTCTGGTCAAAGTACCCCACCTGTTTCAGCTCTTTCTTGGAAGAAATTGTTCCCACTTCTTTGCCATCCAGTTCACTTGCTTCTGGCTGTCTTCCAGTTAACCAAGGTCCATTGGAACCTGTGGCACCTAGGATGAACTCGGAGGGTCCACACAGTGGTCTGAGCAGTGCCAAGTATGGCAGAACCATCACCTCTGTAGTTCTGGACACTCAGAGCCTTCAAGGGCTTGCATTCCAGACTGCAGGGATGCGACACCTGGAATATCCAAGCAGGCCACGGGCCTTGGATCCACAGGTGTCCTTTGACCTTTGTCTTCCTCCCTAGTGAGGCCCTCTACAGGGACATCTGGAACTCGCGTCTGATAAGTCAGCTTGCTCCATATGATCGGAAGGCCTCTATTTAGGTCACCAGAAGTAAGCTTTATATTCTTTAAAACTATTAACAACAGATTTGGGTGTTGCAAAGATCTAGAATTACTGGACCAGAATGACAGGTATATTGAATTTTATAAAGCACTGTGTTCATCTAACTTATTTATTTGTAGATTATGTGATTTAATAATAATAAAGGACACCAAATACTGAGCCTTTATGGGCCACTCATTGTGCAATGCGTTACGCCATCATACTTAATCTTCATAACAACCCTATGAGGTGGGTGCTGTTAATATGCACATTTTAGAGATGAGAAAACTAAGACTCAGAAAGATTAGGTGACTTGTCCAAAGTCACGCAGCTAGTAAGAGGCAGGACCAGCATTGAAACTCGAGTCATAACCACAATGCTCTCTCCAAGTGTGACCTGAGCTCTCCTCTGACGTCCCACATAGTCTCCAGGACATGGTGCCAATATTGCAGCACTGATCACAGTCTGCTTTGCATTAGAACTTTTGCTAAAACTCTACTCACATATTACAAATTTTACTAAATTCATTTACTTATTTCTTTGCCAGCCTTTGTTATTCATAACAGGCTCTTCAGTTTAGAACTTAAACATCTTAAGAATGGAGTCTGTTTTATTCTATTTCTTTTTTTGAAGAAGATTAGCCCGGAGCTAACATCTGCCACCAATCCTCCTCTTTTTGCTGAGGAATATTGGCCCTGAGCTAACATCTGTGCCAATCTTCCTCTATTTTGTATGTGGGACACCTGCCACAGCATGGCTTGATAAGCAGTGCATAGGTCCGCACCCAGGATCCAATCCGGCAAACCCCTGGCCGTCAAAGGGGAGGGAGAGAAATTTTGTTCTATTTTGCTCCATATTTTGTTCTATTCCTTTTGACTCTCTTATTGCCTGGTATAAAGTTTTTCCTGTAGTCTGGCCTCAATAAATGGTACATTATTGACATATGCGATATCAAAGAATGCACAGCATATAGACAGACACATCCACATATCTATAGAACTTACTAATCATTTTCTTTTTTACCACATAAGGCATAAAAAAGTATACATGCAAGGCGATTTGCCAAATAAAGTAAAATTCAACCAACATTTGTTTTGTGACTTCTAGATAGAAGAAGCTGTAATAAAGAGAAGCTTCTAGACTTGAATAAGGCTGACTTCTGTCCTCTAGCTGTAATCTAGAAAGTGAGGCAGATGCTACTCCCCAAACTCATAAGTGCAGGAACCCTGTCATTTTTCTTTACCACCTTGCTCCCAGCAGCTGGCACTCTGCCCCACAGATGTTGCACAATAAATATGTGTTGTTAAATGCATTACTTTTTTTGAAAAACAACATTAAATTCCTACTGTGCACCAGCTACCATGCAAAGTATTTTCACATATGTGGTTTAAACTAAACCTCAGAACAATATTACGGGGTATGTTTTCACATCTCTTTTTATAGATATGAAAACTGAGGCTTGAAGCAAAATTCTAATACGAAGCAGACTATGATCAATGCTGTAATATTGGCACTGTGTTTTGGGACATAGGAGGAAAGCTCAGTTCACACTTGAATAACTTCCTGCTCCCAACTGCCTTATTCTTGATCCATAAAACTCATCTGACCTTTCAGCGAGGACCAAGCTTGCTCTAAGTGCCCAACAGGATTTAGCAAGGGCTGTGAGTGTAGGCTCCTGGGCTGCAAAGCATCACTTCACCCGACTCATCTGAGATCATGGGCAGGAAGGAGGATGCTAATAACGCCTTGTGGATTTTCACTTTATGAGGAGTTTAACTCACACTCCTTAGAGGCAGCTCTTCATGCCTCCCTGCTTTGGACTGGGTTTCTAGCAGGCTTGCTTCCCTTTGCAGCAGCAAAGAACAACCAGGAAGTAGCTGCATCCAGGACATGGCACATCCAAGGCAGTCAAGGCTCAGAGCAGGGCTTCCTGAACGTGTCTTGGTCTGGTAGGAGGAGCCAACTAAGGTGGTTATCCAAAATCAGGTAATCCTTGACGTTTACAGAGCACACTGACAAGGAGAACCTGACCTGACCTTCACAGTCCGCCCCACGACACAGAAATTCATCCCACTTTACAGATAAGGAAACTGGGCTTTAGAACATGGTGGTAGCTCTTTTTGGCAGTGGTTTGGCCAAGGTCACACAGTTAGAAGGATTAAAGTCAGAATTCAAACGCAGATCTTTAATCTCCAAACCCTATGCTTATTCTTCTTGCTTCATCATACTGAGCACAGACCAGTTGTTCTATCTCAGATTATCCATCCATTCATTTGTTTTGCAAACAATCTTCAAGTGCCTCCAATGTAAAGTTCTAACAGAAGAGATAGACAAATACTATTTAATAGGAAGCCAATATATTACAGCAAGATAGCTCTAATGGGCCAGGGTCTCAGGACCTGAAAAATATCTTGCTTGTGTATGTATCCTTTTTTTTTCTTATTTTCCCCACCTTAAAAATGTAAGTTCTAACAACCTTGTCTATCTTGTTCGATGCTTGGTCCTCAAGAGCCTGGACAGTGTCAAGCACATAGCTGGTGGTGACAGCTGTGATGGAGTAAAGTAGCTTGAAGCAACAGAGAATGGCGGGCGGGGGATCCTCCCCCAGGAAGGCCTCTGAGAAGAAACAGCACCTGAGCAGAGACTGAGTGCAGTGAGGGAGCAACGCCTTCGAAGGATCCGAGATTGGGGACCACAAAGGCAAAGGCCCTGAGGTGGTATCATGGGTGACCTAGCTAAGGAAGGGCAAGAAGGCCCGGCGGCCGATGTGGAGTGACCGAGGGAGAGACGGTACAAGATGAAAGAGAAGCCAGAGAGAGGCCAGAAGGAGGTGGGGTCTGGAGTTAGAACAACTAGATTTCAAATCCCAGCCCTATCACTTACAAGCGATGTACCATCCGGATGGTGCCTGAACTTTCCTAAAGCCCCTCCTCCCATGTTCTCCAAAGATTAACTGAAATGATACATGTGAAGTGCTTAGCATGCTTGGCCTTGGGGGCCACGGAAAGATGAGGAGAGCATGGTCTCCATCCACCAGGAGCTCCCAGCCGAGGGACAGGGACAGACAGTAACGGCCATGCCCAGCATTTAGTGAGCGTCCGCCAGTGTCAGTCCCTCTGCTTCGCATGCCTCATCCCTACTCCTCACAGTGACTGGGAAAAAGAGACTTTAGCAACTCTGATTGTGAAGAGGAAATGGAGTCTTAGAGGAGCCAGGTAAAGTCACCTGAGCTGGGGCAGGGCTGTCTGCCCCAAAAGCTGGTTTGCTCTCACTGTGGCACACTGCCTCCCTAATTCAGCAGGTAGCCAGGAGTACCTTTGTTATTATAACACGGTGCTGGGCGGCACAGAGAAGGGAGCTCCCAGCTGGGCCTGGTTGTTTCACACAGCGGGTGGCATTTCCTTAAAGGACCAGTGGCCGGTCCTTTAAAGGATTCGGCATCTGCCAGACCAAGGAGGAAAGCAGGGCATTTCGGGCAAGAGGGCCGTGGTCAGGAACAAAGGAACAAAGTGGGTTCTGGGAAAGGTGAAGAGTTCACTGACCCGTGCCCACAGAGTGGTGGGAGATGGGCTGGAGAGCCGGTGGGAGCAGGTTGCCAAGGCCTAGCCCACCGGGCCGAGCTGCCAGCAGGCAGCTGGGAACCACCTGTGATTCAGAAGCAGTGGGGGAGGACCACCATGAGCTCTGTTCCTAAGGATCTGGGTGAGAACAGGGCATTCCTGACTGATGCAATACCTGAAGGAAATGCCACCTGACTTAGAAAGTGTCACTAGGTTTTAATGGAAGGCGTTATTCAAACTCTTTATCTCAACAGTCGAGTGCTGGGGCCTATTTTAGGAACTCACAGCTTTAGAAACGCTACACAATGAGTTGACATGCCACACTCACAGCTACCAAGAGAGGACCAGGCCCCAGGTCCCTTGGAAGGTGCCAGAGAACACCGCATCCCCCCCTCCCCGGGCCCTGTCATTACCAGTGGAATCAGGCCCACGTGGTCTGCTCCCGTCGCCCCCGGCACCAGGCTGTGCTTTCCTCCTGATCATTCCCTCTCGGCCTCTTTTTCTCTCTCCCCTGGACTCCCACGGTGGTGACACACAGGATCGTGTGGAAAGTCTGGGCCCCAGGAGGCTGCAGCTGTGGCCTCCCTGGGATGGCAGGGTGCCCTCAGGTCAGTGGGTTGCCATGGCGACGCCACTGGCCCTGCCCCAAAGGCCACTGGGTCCTAGGAAGGGGCCCCTGTCCTGTCTCCAAGGGGCATCTGCATCCTGCCCCTGCTTTTATTCCTTCCCTCGCTCACCAAATATTGATTTAGCACCGACTGTTTGCCAGGCTCTGAGGACCTAGTGATGAACATGGCAGGCCAGCTCCCTGCTCTCAGGGAGCTTATAGTCTGTGGTGGAGACAGACAAAACCAAATAAACAGAGTGCAAGGCGTGTTAAGAAGAAAATGAAGCCACGGAATGGGATAGAGATGGGGTGCTGTCTTAGGTAGCAGGAAGCTGAAGGCCTCTCGGAGGAGGTGATGTTGGGGCACGTGCAAAGGCCTGAGGCAGGAGTGGGCCTGGAGTGTGTGAGGCAGCACCAGGAAACCAGTGTGGTGGAGGAGGGGAGGAAAGGGGAGAGCAGTGGGAAATGAGGTCAGAAAGTCAGGAAGGGCCCAATGTTTATAGGGACTTCACATTTATTCCAAGTGTGCTCGGAAGCTATTGGAGAGCACTACCCAGGTGACAGGAACTGCACTGGCTCAGAAAGGGTAGCCTACTAGGGGAGTTACACTCATTCGCCCCACTATTTGTTTATCAACTATTTATGGAGAACTATGTGCGAGGCACTGAGCCATACAGTAGGGACGTCGCAGTGAACCAGACAGATACAGCTTCTGTCTTCATGGAAGGTTAGAGTTTAGTGCAGGAGTCAGCTATTAAATAATCACACAATAGAGAGGTAATTACCAAGAAAGGCACAGGAGAGAAAAAAACGAGGTCTGACCTAATTTGTGAGAGCCAGGGAAGCTTCTCAGAAGAAATTGAATTAAATGGACAGCTAAAAAGTGAGAAGGCATAATGTTACTACCCCAGGTAAAGAGGGAGGGAGAAGTGTTCCTGACAGAAGGAACAGTATGTGCAAAGGCCCTGAGGCTGAGAGAAGACAAAAGCATTGAAGAAATTGACATGCACCCTGAGTGTGAATGCTCACATTCATTCAGGTACTAATTCAACATGTGTTTATTGAGACTCTCGTGTTTACAGAAACTAGGACTCTAGAAGATGCTGTGGGGCATGCCTCTGCACTCAGGGCTGTGTTAAGGAGTCTGGGTTTTATCCTGTCGGTGATTGGGAACCTTTGAGAGTGTTTTAGCAGGATGTGGCATAAGCAAAGCAGTTCTGGGGGCAGCTCCCTCTGGGGCTGCTGAACACAATCTTAGAGGAAAGAGAAAGGGAAACAAGAGGCCTTGTAGTGGAGTGACCATATGACTTATCCAAACCTAGACACTTTTGAGATTGAAGAACAGCATTGATAATAATTTTGTCAGGACTACCCATGTAAACCAGGATTCCCAGGAGAATAGGACGTAATGGTCCTCCTCGGTAGGAGGCCACCGCAATAATCTAAGTCTTGGATGCTTGAGCTAGAACAGATGCAGTGAGAGGAGAAAAGACAAGAACTCTATCCTCTTTCTAGCTAACTGTCTTCACTCATCTAGCCAATCCATGTGGCCAGTGTCCCCATGTCTCTTCCTCATCAGCTGGGGTCTCATCACAGCATGATGCAGGTGAGTCCAAGGTGACACTAATGATATCTGGATTGTGGCCTCTCAGTGCAAGCACCATCATTTTCATCAACATCATTATCACAGCAATGACTTGCCCAAGGTCACACAGCCAGTAAGCAGCTGAGCCAGCATTTGAATCTGACTCGAACCAAGCATTAACTTATAATACCCATAACTATATATTCCTTGCAGTCTGATTGTGAGTACTAAGTTATGTCTAACAGAATATGAGACACACAATATGTGCTCCATAATGTCACTGCCCTTTCTCAATTTAAGAAAACACAATATATAAAACTCTAAAGTGGGTAAAGAGATTAAGTAAGGTATCATTATTTACAATATACAAGGATTAATGAGGAAACCCCAAGGGTGCACCAATGTGGTTAGTTCACAGATCATCAACTCATCAAGGATCCCTGGAGACTAGAGAAAATTAAAGCTAGGTATTCGGTGCCATCTCCTGTCGAAGACAGATTCACTGTAAAAGCACATCTCCACTCTGAAAACATGCCAGGGAATGCAAGAGTTAATGTACACAATCACATAGCCAGGTTGTAAGGATGTCATTCCTCCTCTACTTTGGGGTGGCGCATAACTATCACACCCAATGTCAGCAGTCTTTTTCTTTGTTCTATTTCTATTATGATGATATTATTAAAACATGTAAGAATCTGAAAAAGGTTACCAGAGCCAAGGCTAATCACTGTGCACAGCATCTGATATTATTTGATTCTTGATCATCACCTTTTTTTCCCCCCACCTCTTCCTCACTTCTTCTCACCCCCTCTCTTAGGGGATGTGATTCCCCCCCAAACCTTAGGAGTCAGGCACTCCTGGCTGCAGGACCCAAACAGTCTTAAAACTAGCCTGAACTTTTGAGATAAATCTCCAAAACTCCCTTCGCTGAGGCAAAATGCTTTTTGCTTTCTGGTGTTAAATCTATCGTAGAAATCATATTTTTAAATGTTGGAAAGAGAAACACATTCACCCACAATCCCACCCTTTAACTCGTGAATTACGTGTCCTTTCTCCATGTTGCTTCGCCTCACGTCCACATGTGCGTATATGTAAACGAACCCCAATGAACATACGATTTCTATTCCTCTTCCTCTTAACATTCTATCACGCAGATTTGTCCTCTGTTGCCACAGTCTTCATATTCATCATTGTTTAACAGATGCCCACTGTTCATGGAGCTAGTGTTCCTATTTTTTTGTAATGTTTTAACGACCAATTTGGTGCATATCATCTTTTCTCTCTTTGGAATCATGTCCTGAGGATCACCTAGAGAAGGAAGGCTAAGCATGTGACTTAGTAACTTAGCTACAAATGAATGGTCTGAATTCCAGCCTTAGTACTCACTTGTTGAATGACTCTGGGCAAAGCCTCTAAACCTCAGTGTCCCCTTGAGTAAAAGGTGGATAATAACCTGCCTACCTCATCCTAGTGGTGAGATTTCAGTGAACAAATGCATGGAAGGCTCTTAGCATAGTGCCCAGCACAGAGCAAGTTCTAGATACGTGGAGCCACTCTGATTCCCAGGCACTTGTTTGTGACACAGCACTTTTTTGGTTTGTTTTAATGACAACGCGCTGTGGTGCTCAACTGCCAGGTTCAGGTCTGACTTCCTCGCTGTATGACCTTGGGTGAACGGCTCAACCTTCTTGAGTCTCAGCTTTTTGTCTGCAACATGGAGGTGGGAATAACAGCGCCTCAGGGAGTCTGTATGAGAATTAAGTGAATGAGGCACATAAAGTGCCACATGGTAAGCACTGTATGTCTTAGCTATTATAATTTTTATATCACGCCCGCCCCCAAGGCTTTCCACTTTAGTCCCTTTCTGCCATCACTCTTTCTGTTTGATCCTTAGATCTGCTTGGTGCAGTGAAAAGAACATGGCCTTGCAAGCCAGGAGGACACTAATTCCAGTCCTCCCCTTACAAGTGACTAAGTAAACTCTGCAACCCTAGGCAATTACTTAACCTCATGGGTCTCAATTTCCTTCCTATATATATAAAAAAATCTACCCCATGAGGTTATTACGAGGATTAGGAGAAATAACATAAGCTCCTTAAGACCTGACTATACTTTACTCACCCACTACTTCCTGGACTGAGGACAGTGCTTGGCACAGAACAGCAGAGCAATGAGGAGACGGAGAAAAAAGAATGGAGGGGAGAGAGGGAATGAAATGAAAGAATGAAGCACCAACACCATGGCTGGCACCTCGTAGGGGCTTGAAAGAGTGTCAGTTCACCTGTAGTTAATTTATCAGGTACTTGTTCACATGGAGCCTTAAGCCAGGCTTCCTAGAAAGCAAGCAAAGAGATGCAGCATTCTTCAGAAAATGAATGATGGACTGATTTATATCTTAAGTAAATATTTATTGAGCACTGACTCGTGCAAGACACTCTAGTACATGCTTTGCACTGTGCTAAACACGTAATAATGACACAGGTGGCAATCGTGAGAAACAAAGGAAGAGGCATCAAGTAAACACATAAAATGAGGATGGAAAGCGTATGTGCACTCTAGACCCCGTGTGTAAGTGCACCGTGAGGCAAAGTTAGAGTCAGAACTCTACGTGGGAGGGAAACCACCAGCCCCTTCCTGACGACACTCTGTTTTTAATCGGTATGCAAGTGGCCTGGCTGAAGGAAAGCAGGACCAGCTTTGGTGCCATAACAAACCTCAGTTCAGACATTCTCTCGCTACGCGAACCCATGCATGGACAGAATCCCACTGAGCAGCAGTGTCGCCAAGTATAAAATGGGAGTGATCCCATCTAACTCACAGGTTTATGAGGTCATGTATTGAAGAGACTGGACACAGTGGAATTGTTGTATAAAACTTTGTTTTCTTCCCCCATGTGGCCCTGGTGTGTGGGGTGGAGGAGGGGGAGAAGACAGGTCTGGGAAGCTCCTAGGGGAACCCAGGAGAAGCAGGAGGCACTCGAAGCATCTTCTGTTTATTGAGCTTTTACAACATGCCAAGGCCCTGTGCTGATCCCTTCCCTGCATGACTTCATTTAATCCTCACAATACCCTATAAAGTGGGTACTATGCATGGTGCCACTTTACTGACAAGCAAGTTGAGGCTCAGAGAGGTTACATAACTTGCTGAGTTCACATATTCAGCCCGCGGCAAAGCCAATTCTCACCAAGCCTGAGGGCTTCCAGAGCCGCAGCTCTTAACGACTGCATCAATGATTGCAATAGCCTGCTATTAATGATCGTATCGCTGATTGCAAACTGGAACATGCTATGCAAGTGGAAAGTGCTGTTATTTTAACACCGAGGGTTTTTTTTTGAGGAAGATTAGCCCTGAGCCAACATCTGCCGCCAATCCTCCTCTTTTTGCTGAGGAAGACTGGCCCTGAGCTAACATCTGTGCCCATCTTCCTCTACTTTATATGTGGGACGCCTGCCACAGCATGGCTTGCAAGCAGTGCCATGTCTGCACCCAGGATCCAAACCGGCGAACCCTGGGCCACTGAGGCAGAACGTGCGCATTTAACTGCTGCACCACTGGGCGGGCCCCAACCCCGAGGTTTTTATGTAGACAATACTATAAGGAAAATCATGTCTGTAAGTAAATAGATATGAAGGCCTTGAGGATGTGTGTAAGATGTCAAATTTACCAAAGCAACTGGCAAGCGGAGGATACCAACCCAGCGGCAGGGCCAGGTTGAATTTAGAAGCTCTGAGAATGATTTGGGATGGAAGGCACACACTGCGCGAAGGTGCTCCTGCAGGAAGGAGCGCTCATGGGCGTCCTCAGTCAGCAGCTGCTGCCAAAGTCACATCAAGGTGCCTGTGGCAGCCAGACGGCCACTGACACCCGTGGCAGTGCTCCAGAGCACTGCAGTGTGAGCTGCTGTCTCCCACAGGATAGGGATGACTTGACCTCCTGAACTTCTTTCTGTAGCAGAGGAGGTGAGCTAGAATGGATATTCTAGACCTTAGGGTCTTCCTTCTAGCTCCAGGTTTTAGGAGGCAAGGAGGCAGCCTGGCTTCGAAATCAGAATAATCTGTGTTCAAATCCTGGTTTGACACTAGCCATTTGGCCTGGACATGTTACCTAGGCTCTCTGAATCTCAGTTTCTTCATCTGTAAAATGGGGACAATAATACCATAGGTTCAGTATGAGAGTTAAATGAAGTAACAGGCATAAGAATTTAACACAGTGCCTGGAAAAGATTATAAATTTTATTAATCCACTAGGCAATTTCAGAAAGGGAGTCACTTTAATAAAAAAGTAACTAAAATTTTTGAAAATAAGTCAGCCTGCTGTCAAGGAATGATTTCAGGGTAGTTTCCTCTTCTCTCCCTTCCTCCATCTGTTTCTCCCTCCCTCCCTCCCTTCCTTCCTTCTTTCCTTGTCTCCTTCCTCCCTCCCTCCTTCCCTCCTCCTCTCCCCAATTCCTTCATTTTTTCCTTCTCAAAAGTGATCTATGCATCAACATACAACTTTGGTCGTTTCATTCCTTTTTGTTTTGAAGGTTTTTCATTCCTTCCTTCTTTCCTTCCTGCCTTTCTTCCCTCCCTCTCTCCCTTCTTTCCTTCCTTCCTCCCCTCTTCCTTCATTCTTTCCTTCTCAAAAGTGATCTATGTATCAACACACAACTTTGGTGCTTTCATTTCTTTTTTTTTTTTCAGTATCTCTCAATACCAGGAAAAACTCTGAACAAACCACAGACCCTTAGGGAATCCTTTTCTTAGGTCCCTCACCTCTTGGATCCCTCTGGAGCCCTCTACCCTGCACTCTTTTCTGGCTGTGCTCTGGGCTCATCCAGCCTCTGTGCAGCTTGCGCCTGCTGCATGCGGGGCCAAGTCTGGGCGGGCGGCTGTCCCCGCGCCTCCTCGGCTGTGCCCAGTGAGGGAGCCGAGACGGAGAATGCCCTGCAGCCTGGGCACCCTGAGGAAACCCCAACGAAGCAGCGAAATAATTCATTCTTCTAATCACAGCAAAGTTTTCAAACTTTCAAACGGCGTCTTGATTAGAAGAAAAGCTGTTTTTTTTTTCAAAAAGCCTGGCATTTCTGAAAAGGTCCCCTACCCAAACCACAGCAACCTCAAAAACTCTGCCCACTGAGTTGAAAATAAAAGTTCATGGAGACCAAACGCCGTCTCACAACAACCTCTCAATGCTTTAGAAAGCTGCTTTCCAATGCTTCAAAGTTTTCACGATTTATCTGAGGGCCTCAGGCCCTCTTCCTCATAAACTCGCAGGGTTTTCTCAGCCAGTATTCTTTCTTTCCTATGACGTCAAATAATGCTTTATGGAGAAGCTGTTTTGCTTTTGAAAAAAAGGAGTCATCAAGGAAAAGAAATAAAACTCTTAGAAATGAAAATTTTAGCCTTTTTAGTAATCATATAAGGATGATACAAAATTAGTTGATTTTCTCTTCGGTGGAGCAAAGAATTTGTAGAGGAAACCTAATTCTTCTCTCACTCGACATTTATTAGCAGCAGCGGAACTGAACACCACCAAGAAAACGTGGCAAAATATTTAAAGGAATGAATCGATTCCATCACAAATAGATCTGAGTTTATGCCATGGGCCCAATTCTGGAACTTCATAAAATCTTAATAATTTCAACAGGAAGTTGACCTACCCAAAAGCATTTAGAATCAGTAGACAAATTATAAATACATGGATGAACACCCCAAATTTAGACTAATCGTTCAGAAAAAGATGATGTGGAACTCAAAAAATCACTCGTGCTCGTTTTTTTTAAAGTTTAAATTCTATCATTATAACATTCAAAGAAACATTTCCTGCTTCAAAAGTCTAATATTAGCTTGAAATGATTTCACAGCAGCTACAAGATTCAAAACAAACACGTTGACATAATTTTCTTCGCGAAATGCATTCGTGCCTCGAAAATGAGATGCTGGCGGCGTCCTTAGGAATCACTAGTCACTCTGTAGGTTATTCGGTGGCAGTTCAAAGTCTAGTCCAAGAGTAGTTCACTCGGGTTGACTGACAGGGCATTTTCTCCACCATGATGGATTCAGGGGATCAATGCTTATGAAGTGGTAATTCTCCATTGTGATTAAATAAAAATCTGCTATATTCATCTCACTTAGGCTGCGTCTAAACAACGCCGACCTTTAGCACAACTGGGTAGACAGAAAACACAGAACACAAGGTGCTAACTTTCACTGGGTTGCAGCCTTCTCAAAGGCTTTCTTATTATCCCTTTAAATTAAAAGAAAAAAATCACAATACTACAAACCCAACATGTCCAGGTTCACCTTCTACTAATAATTACTGATTACTCAGAGGCAGATTATACTTTCATGTTTTACTGAGGACTAACCAACCACAAAAGTGGAAACTATTTACCTACTTTAAAGAAATGCTGCTGTAAAGATCAGATCTGATGCAACAGAGACTACATAATCTACCGGCACAGGTTAATCCAGCCCTATTTGCCTAAATTCGGACCATATTCAACTGAAAATATAATGGCTGAATTTAATTCTTTCCTGCTTTTTATGATCCTGTCTCTCAAAGAAATCTGTTAACATTTCAAAAACCACAATGCAGGTAAAAATCAAATTATGAAGACAGAAACAGAACCAACGGACATTTTCTCCTCACATTAAAAAAAATATATGCACGAAAGGCAAAAAAACTAAACTCTTGATCTGGATGCTCCTAAAATGAGCTTCAGAGACTGGCTCATTTGAAACTGAGTTTTCCATTTCCTGAATGAAAAGCAAGTGTAAAATGGTTTAGTCTTTAAAACAGTGATGCCTACAAGTATAAAGGGGGTTGGGGGAGAATGTGGGCCGTCGCATTCCAGAACTGCAAGGGTATCAGGCGTTACGAAGGGGCCTCCATCAGAGGTGTGCAATGTATGTGTGTCTCAGTGCTCCATGGAACTCTCTTCCAGGATTCAAATCCCAGTCAACAGGTGCTGTCTCTACAAAGACGTGTTTTCCATTTTCTCCAACAGACTAGGAAGTGCAAGGATGAATTCACGGCAAACAAGAGCTCACAAAATGCCTTCTTTATGTGAACAGTAGAGAAATGAAAACGAATTAATCCCTCAATCAAAATCCTTTAGAAAAGAATGATTTGTCTTGACATTAGAGCTGAGGCTATGTCTAACATAGTCCAGAAAACATCTAGATATGCTGAAACAGGCTAAATTTTTTTCAGGATTCTTATCCCCTTTTCTTGGCTATACACCCAGGTTTAAGCATAGGAAGACATAGAATTATTTTTAAATAATAATAATATCTGCCATTTACTGAGCAATGTCTAAGAGCCAGGCTTAATTTAACATGCACAATCTCATTATAATCTCTTAACAACCTTAAGAAGGTAAGGAGTAAATATTTTCACAAAGAAGGAAATTGAGGCTTACAGAAGTCAGGTCATTTGCCCTGGGTCACACAGCTGGAAAGTGACTGAGCTAGGATTTAAAACTTCTGTCTGTCTGTCTGATGGCAAAGCCCACGTTCTTTTCATTGTCACACTACATTCACTTGAAGTCATAAGTTAACAAATATCTGTGAATTACTTCTAGCTGCAATATATTGTTTGTTAAATTACCTAAAGGCTCCATATATTATCACATAACTTAACAGCTTTTGCCTCATTAGTTTATTCTTACTGAGGGTGTCTGTTTGTGAGCATGAATGAAGCCTTGACATTCTCCGAGACAAAGCAAATGCTAACTAAACTTCAAATGAATCCCAAAGTAGTAAAGACATGAATGTTTTATGTCCCTACTTTTGCCAACAATAATTTAAAATTTTGTCTCCACAGTTTAAAGAACTATGCTAACACTTTCATATAGGCAAAAAGTAGCATGGTCTTGCTAAAATGATACATGCTTTATGAGACAGCCTTTCCACCACAACCCTCTCCTTCACTAAAACAAAAAAGAAGCGAAAGTCAGTATAGCCTTGTGGCTAAGAGTGTGGATCACTCACGGATTAGGCCACTTACCCCCTCACAGATAGCCTTTCTCTGCCTCAGTTTCCCGTTGCATAATATGAAGTGGATAATAATAGTACTCATAACATATTTTTAAATACAACTAACAATGCAATTAAAGTGCTTAGTACATGCCCGGCACATGTACTTGGTGCCAGTTTAGTACATGAAAGGCATTTAAGAAACATTAGCTTTAAAAATACAAGTAAAAAGCTAGCTATATTACTCACATTCTGCCTCTGGGAAGTTAGGCACACACAGTTAAGACTGATCCTGCTTTCCATGCAATCAACGTATGTCTTACCAGCCCGACTTCTAGAGCTCAGAAACTCATCAAACATTTCAGCTTCTAGTCTGACTTTTATCTTTAACCTGTTGATTTCCCTACGTAAACTGCGAATGATAACAGTTCCTTCTTTACAGCGTTGTAGTGAGCGTTACGCAGATAATGCATTTAAATAAAAATGCTTAGCAAAGTGAAGTCATACAGTAAGTATTGGATACATGTTATCTATTACCACTTCCACAATTCATATTCACAACAGCCCTATTGGATGGTTGTATCAGTTCCATAAGAAGATTGAGGCTCAGCAATATGGACAAAAAGGACACAGCTTTATGTGGCATAAAGGTAACAACCTTTCCATCACCACGCTCTCTATCGTCATTACTCCAGATAGCGTTTTTTTTTCCATAGTGCTTATCAGTCACTGACATAATCAATTTTTGTGTTTATCTGTCTAAAGTCTCTGCTCCAGAGGAGCAGACATGGCGTGTTTGTTAAGCACAGCATCTAGCAGAGCAACAGGCACATAGAAAACACATAGCACTCTTCAGTGAATGAATGAATGAATGAATGCAGCAAGCAAAAATCTGTCCAAAATCTATACTCAACCACTATGATACACTGCCTCCCAACACTGCCATCATTTAAAACCTCTTCAAATGCAGAATCACACGACTCCTTCAGAGAGGTTTTCTCCGGAGCCCAAAGACGACAACATTCTGGGATTGTCCACTCTCATCCACATGTTTCCCTTCTCACTGAGTGGGATCAAACTCCACCTCAAGGCCAGAGTCACAACCAAACCCTGGCAGTGTAGCACTCTAGCCATGTCCAGATGAAGTGGACTGGGTGGGGTGACAGACTGGGCTTTCCCCAGTCTAGTCTCCAATCGAGCTCTGCTGTGTACAAGTTGTGACCCCAGGTAAGTACCAGACCCTCTTTCATGCTAAAAAGGAATAGTGCAGAACTGTAAAGCTTAAATGGCTAATGTGCAAAAAAGTGCCTGTTACAGGGCTGACATGTGGCAGGCACTGGACAGGAGAGAGCACCCTTTTCTCTAGGCTCAAAGAGGGCACTATCTTTATGTCCCTTGGAGCACTCATCACTTTCAGTGTGTCCACACCTTCTCTCATCAAATACATTCTACAGTCCGACAGCAGGGACTGGGGCCTTGCTTATCCCCAGGGTCTGCCACCCAACAGGTGCTCAGTGAGTAAGACTGAATAAAACCTCACATAAATTAACCCAAAGTACTTTTTTAACTTTTACCTGACACTTCCAAATCATCTATCCTTGAGTCCATTCCCTCTCCCCTAAAGCTTAATAAAATTGCAAAGATATATAAAATAGAGCGGAAGGGGTAAAAACGTCTTCAGGGATTTCTCCCACGTTTTCCATCCCACAAACCCTTGGAGCCCTGGAGGGGCAGCTGAAAAGTGTCCCAAGTGACCTGTAGAACATGTAGGGTGGGCTCTCAGGCGCCTATGCAAGTGGAGACCTGCCGTCTGGCATCCCAACTTGTGATGGCACCACTTTACACCTTCTTAGCCTTTTTGGCAAAGACACAAACACGACAACTTGACTTAGAATCACAATCTTACAATGTTGGAAAATGAAGACGCAGGTCACAATAATTTCTCTCTCCTGAAACACTTGTGAGCATTGACGACCATAAAACTACTTTGTAAACAAAGTACCAGGCCGATTTCACATATATGTCAGAAGACACACACGGACACAGGCATGTCCTTGAGTGGCAGAAGTTTAGATAGACCATAGTGATCTTTACCTCCAACCCATCCACTTCAAGATGAGACAACAGAGTCTCAAGGAAAAGGGAAGGGCTCCTCAGCCCAAATTATCACCAGGCAGGCTGGCTAGGTGTGAGAAGAGCCTTACCTCTTTGTAAAAGCTTGAGCAAGGGAGGATAAAGTTTGATGTTCTTTTGACGGGAACATTTTGCCACATTGGCCAGTGTGTATGCCTCTCCAACATACATGAGGGTCTGTGATGCTGGCTTCATCATCTAGAGGCATTTCAGTGTTTCCCAAACTAACATTGGGTCCAGCTCCATAAAATCTAGTGTCCTAAGGACTGCCTTTAAAAAGTGGCTATCCAAGGTTCTTCTTGACTCTTAAAATCCTAAATGACTCGTAAGGATATTTCAGTATATTATTAGTTTGGGGAAAGATCCACTAATTGTGCAGTGGATCATAGTTCAGATAGTGGTACCCAGCTCACGTATGGGCTTCCTGGATTCTAGAATCCCAGACTGTGAGCTGTCTAACCCTTCATTTCACAAGCAATGAAAATCAATCTTGGAAAGGCTAGAAGATTTACTTAAAGCAACATTACAAGTGGCTGAGTTAGAATTATAACTCAGAGCTTTTCCCACTGTGCAAAGGAGAAGAAAATCAGATAGGATCTCCTTTCTACTCCCTCCCCCCCGCAAGATTTCTGACCAGGCACCTCATCTTCTCTTTCCCTCTTTATCCTAACCCCTCACCCTTTCAGATCCGGTTTGAGAAAGGGGGTGAGAAATTCATCCTGGGCGACCCACGGGTCGTGGGGAAGAAAAGCCAGAACCTTTCACGTTGGTGAGCCTGTGGCTCGTGGGGGAGGCGGGCGCACTGCCCAGCTGGCGCCTAACCTCGGGACGGGTAGGGAGGCTGGAAAAGAACCCGGAGAGGCTGGGGGCGAGTGGGGCGCGCAGGCGGGCTGAGAAAAGGTGTAGCTGCTGGAGAGAAATTAGAGACCTTGGCGCCTCTGGGAAGCAGGATGGTCCAGCTCTCACACAGAGGCGGGGAGGTCCTGTGCAAACTCCTCTCTCCTCCTCGCACTCGGCCCTTTGTTGTCGGTTTCTGCCTCTGGCTCCAGCTCATGCCCTCCGGTCCCCCGCCTCCCTGAAGTCACCCCAACTGCACTCATAATATTTTGCTTTGCGCCGGGTCTGTTTTCCACCACCAACTTCCAGCAGTCTCCATGGCGACGCGCTGGGGAGGGGGGCGGGCCGGGCTATGGAAATCCCAGGGCCTAGCCGCCCGGCGGCCCCTGCAAACTTTTCCGGGTCTCCGGGTCCTGCAGGTCCGGTGGGAAAGCGCGCTGTCCCGGGACACCGCACCGAGAGCGTGCGAAGCTCCCCCAGCCCGGCCTGGGTGCCGCGTCCGCGATGGCTAGGGCTGCAGCCACCCGGCCTGGGGACCCGGCGGCCACGCGGCTCCCACTTGACCCTGCTGCCAGACCCAGATGCCGGTGTTTGGCAGGTGGCGAGGATGGGGGCGTGCATGTCCCCCTCACTTGCCCCCCCCCCCCACACACACACCCAGGCCCAGGAAGGACCGAGATGGTGTGATTTGGGCCAGGGCCAAAGCTGAGACCCCCGACCCCTTGCTCCCGCAAGCCCGCACACCAGGTCCCCCGGCTGGAGAAGGCGGCTCTTTTCCTAGGGCCGCGTCTGGGAGAGGATGGAGAAGGCCGGGGCCCGTTCCCACTCAGGCGCTCTCAGCCCCGTCGGCCCCGCGCCAAGGCCCCTGGATGTCCCCACCTGGGGGCCCACTGAGCCAGGTCGGGCCTTGTCCTGAGCCGGGGCCCTGTAGATCAGCGTGTCTTCCCGCCGTTGCGGCCTGGGGTGCTCAAATCCGGCTCCAGGGATACTCTGGCCGCCCCAGCTCTGGATTCTGGAGATCGGGGCGGAAAGTGGGTAGAGGCAGAAATTTCCAGTTCGGGCTCGGCAGCGCCCCTCTCTAACGCGTCATCCCGTTTTACAAGAAAGAACCCTTCTGTTGCGTAGGCGACCAACCTGGCTGCGGCCCACTGTGCACAAGTTCTCCGTGGCGCAAAATTCTACCGACTTTCTCCCTACGTTCTCGAATTTCCGCGTACCTTGAGCAACTGAGCAACGCTCGCCTGGGAAGGGCAGCCCGGATTGGACCCACAGGCCATAAACAAGCAGCCGCCGCTGGTGGCCCGCGTGGGTAGGGTGAGCCACACGGGGCTCTGCGCTCGCAATGGCGCAGCGTGGGGCTGCGGCGCTGGCCAAGGGAGACGCGCTCCCGCCCCAACTGCGAACTGCCTACTTGCGGGATCGCGCCTCGACGGTCCCACGCGCGCGCCTGCGGCCTTCGCCGCCCGCTGGAGCTCCGCGGCGCAGCCAGTCTCCTGGGAGAGGGGCTCTGATTTATCCCGCCCGGCCGCGAGCTAGCAGAGGACCCGGGAGGCGCGCGCCGGCTCCCCTGCCTCCACCGACCGGGCCATTGTCTTAGCCCCACACTTATTGAGTATTTTGGGAAAACTCAAGGAATATATTACCGGCTCGGTGCGCGGAACAAAGGGGCGCGTTTCCGCAGGTCACGCTGAAGTGGCCCCAAGGCAGACCACTAAAGCCTCGGCCCCTGCAAACCCGTTCTCCCGGGCCCGAGGCACTTTGCGGGGATTTTTCCTTTTAAGAGTAGGGGACGGAGGCCCGGCTCGCCAGCCTCCCTGATCCTGGACGCTCCCGACTTCGCCCCAGCACTTGCTGCGAGTCGATAGCTCGAGCCTTTTCGGGAGGAAATAGTAACAATAATATCCGTGGTTCTGGTCCCGCGCAACCTGCTGTAAAAGGAGCAGAATCGAACTGCTCCACGGAGCGCTGGTCTCAGCTACCCGGGAAGAAAGGACCTTTACATGACAAGGGGAACTCAGAAGAAAAGCTAATTGGATTAAGTTCTCTGGAAGGGAGGTGAGGGGAGGCTCCTGGACCGGACCGCGCCGAGCTGTCCTTGCCTTGTCGGTTTTGCAAGCCCGAGTGAAATGTCACCTGGGGCGCCTCATGTCATTTCTTCACGCTGCCATTTCCCAGAACTTTTTGAGTTCAGGATGGCGATCCAGAGATGTCTCAGATTTTGGAAAATGGGAGAAGGAGTGGATGGGGAAAAGATTTCGGTTTCAGAACCCATTTGCGGTGTTTGCAGTTGAAGTTTAAAGTGACCAGGTGCCTCCACGACCACCAGTGACATCAAGAACAACAAGCAGAACGTTTCCACAGCCTCATAGCTCTCCCCAGAACGCACAGAGAAGCTCCAGTCGTGTAGAGGGGGAGGCTAAAACTCCCAGCTGGACCATGGCGGGTGTGGGGTGTGGGGAGACCCCCCAAGTCCTTGCCTGGGCCCCTTGCAAATACTTGGCCACACACGAGGCAGACATGGGTTTAATTTTGTTCAAGGATATTCCCCTCTAAAGTTGGGGTGCTCAGGAGATGCGTAGTGGCACAAGCACTTGATAGAAAAATAAGGAGGGGGGCTCTTGTCCCCTCTCTGGGTGCCTTCTTCACAGCTAGTGAAGAGGACCCCAGCAGGGCCAGCACCGTACGGCAGCTGGGCCCGCGGCAGGCAACGCCTCTCCTTGCCTTCGTTTGTCATTGCCTATAGTAAGGTGGACTGCGGGGCTCAGGCTTTCCCCACTCCCAGGGGACCCACACCCACTCGGGGGAGTGCAGTAGGACAGGGACTTGGCTCTTGGAATCAGAGATAGACAACTACTCTGGAAAACTGAAGATCCCCCGGCCAGAGGGGGTGGGTGTTCCGGCCACTAGGGCCTCGGCAGAAGCCTGGAGGAGCTGGAAGTCTGTCTACGGGGACGGAAGAAAGATCATCTGGGGCGATAGCCGGATGACCCCTACCTCCACCCCAGATCCATTTCCAGCCTGCTTCGGGGGGAAAAGGAAACGTTCCTTGGGTGGGGAAACATTCGTGTGTTGTTTGTTTATTCGCTCAGAGAAGGGCCGCGTGTGTGTTAGGGAATGGCAGAGGCTGGAAGCACTTGTTGCTCCACGCTGCAAAGCCCAGCAGTGGATGCTCGCAGGCATCCTCCGGAGCATCCGTCAAACCGCTGCCTGGGCCCAGGCTGCGCTCAGCGCCCTCCTTCCGCCTCTCCCAACCTCATCTCGCCGAGAAACCTCGAGCCTGCAGCCGAGCCAGGACAGGAGCGGACTGCTTGGGAGACTGCAGCTGGGGGAGGAGGTGAACTTTCAGAGAACTTCTTCCACCTGGAAGGGACATAGGAAGCAAAACGCAGATCTAGAAGTTTGGCGGTTCTTCAAAGGTGCTAGAAGTGAGAGGTGGCGAAGGCTCTCCTGGAGAAAGAACGGAGACGCCGTGCTTTTTCGTTCTAAGAGATTCCTTGGCTTGCTTCCTTCGTTGTTACGCACATCCGCGACCCCAAAACCTGACGCCCACAGCCAACAGCCCCCAAAGTGCCGAGCAGTTTACAGACCCTGACGCCGGGCCTGGCCGGGCCGGCCGCGCTACATCCTGCCCTCCCTCCAGCAGAGTTACAGCCCCGGAGCGGAGCGCGTGGTCCGGTGCTCCTTCCGGGCAGGGAGGCTACACCTCGCCTCCGACGGCCCGGGACTCCCACCTCGGACCGGGTGCGGATTCCCCAGGACCACCGGGTTCGCCGCCGCCACTCCCTCCAGCTGCGCGTCTCCACCAGTGGGAGCCTTGGTCCCCACCTCCCAGGCGCTGTGCGAAGCCGTCGCCCTCCCCCGCCTCTGGGGCGTTCCGCTCGGCTTCAAGCCCCGGAGCCTAGGCACCAGCCCCGGGAGCGGAGCGCACCGCTATTCTGGGGCCCCCAAACCCGGGGGAGGAGCCGGGCCAGGGAGGGGGCGGTCGGCTCGCAAAGTTTCTGCAAGTGGCACCTCGAGCTCGCCTAGAGCCAATGAATCTTTACATAACTTTGTGTCCACGGCAAGAGAAAGCGCGCTTCTCAGTGCGCGCGCGCGCACACACACACATTTACACACACAATCACACGCTTTTACATACACACACTTCCGCGCATCCACTTACACACATCGCGCCAGATTGAAAACTTCTGCACGCTCTGTGTTATTTCCTCGGGTTCCACTGTCAAGTTGACCCTTCTGAACTTTTTGCAACTCCTTCTGAAGTTTCCCTTCTCCCCTTTCTTTCCCTCCCAATGTTTCCCCCCACCCCCCACCAGTAGGACTGACCTGTGGAATCCATGTCGGGTTCCTCCAGTAACCCACAATGCATGCTCTTCCCATGGACAGCACAGGCGCCCCCCAAAAGTCTTGATGTTTGGGGATCCCCTGTGCTAGAGATGCCCAGGGAGGAAGGGAGTGAGGAGGGGAGAAGGGGAGAGAGACACAGAGAGTGCAAGGGCAGAAGGATAAAAGAGGAAAGGAAAAGAAAGAGAGAGAAGAAAGAAAAGAGAAAGAAGAGAAGAGGAGAGAGAGGAGAGAGCGCAGAGAAGGGGGAGAGAGAAAGAGCGAGCGAGCGAGGGGACACTCAGTAATCCAGCCGGGCAAAGCCAAACCCGTCAAAATGTTTGCGGATGTTTCATGGGAAAAAGCATCATTTTATAGGAGCCCCGATGGGAGCAATGTCATTGATAGGCCAGCCGGCCTGATGAATGGCCGCTCGTCAGATGGGGCCGTGGCGAGGCGCACTGTGAAGCCCATTGTGGGCCTGTTTTGAATAAGAAAAGCCGCCTCCGAAAAGGGGGGCTCAGAGCGACGCAATCCCAGCCCTCCGACTTCCCCCTTCTATTATAGCATTAGCAACGTTTTTCTTATTTAAAGTTCCAGAGGCCTTCTCCAGCCTTCGCCCGGCACTCATTATAGGCGAAATCAAAATTGGCTTAGATGTGGCCCCCTCCCCCCTCCCCGCGCCTTCCCCGATCGGGCCAGGCGCGGCACAGGCATGGGGGGGCAGGGGACTCCGGGGGGCCTGGGGAGTCGCCTACGCGGCCACGAGTGGGCCCCATTCCTTTCCCTCTCCTCTTGTGCCCCCTCCCCCGGTTTGGTCCCGGGTTAGACTTTGAGTCGGGGTCCTGGGAATGCGGGAGGAGGTATGCCTTGACTCCCTTCCACGCGGATCCGCGGACGCGCGTGGAGGAGCGGAGAGGGTCGAGGGGGAAAGTGGGGAGGGGACTTGCAGCCCTCAGACCCCATCCCCCACCTGGGCGGCCAGAAGGCCGCTCGGCAGGGAGAGCGTGAGGGGCTGAATTGTCGCCTCCAGAACTTTCTCGGTCCTGCTCTGGGTCTGTCTCCTTTACCCTGTCTCTCTCTTTTCCCTGTGTCTCTCTCCCTCTCCGCCTGTCTCCCTGTCTCTGTCTCTCACTCTGTCCTTCTCTCGTCCTCTGTGTCCCTCTGCTTCCTCTCTTTTGGCTGGCTTTCTGTCCAGCCCCTGCCCCCACGTCTCTTTGTCTCTCCCTAGGACTCTGCCCCTCTCTGTCTCTATCCCCCTTGGTCTCTCCGACACCCCCCTCCCCGCCTCTTCCCGTAACTCTGTCTGTCAGTCTGTCTGTGTCTCAGTCCCTCCTTCTCTCCTCCCGCCCTCTCCCCCGCCCCCCAGCCAGCCACGAAGTTTGTGAGAAGCCCGGCGTCCAAGAGGGGACGCGGTTTTCCCAGGGACCCCCTCCTCGGCTGAGTTTAAAGTGCAGAAGGAGGGAGCGAGGAGCCGGGGGGCTGGAAGGGGAAGTGGGGGGGCAGGCTGCGTCTCCACGGGCCCCGATAAAGTGGCCGTTCGCGGGCCGGCCGCGCTGTGATTAGAATATGAATGGGGCTCGGCGGGCGGAAGAGAAAGGCGGATTACCGGGTGCTTTGACCATGGACAGAGGCAGCGCGGCCGCGGAAGGGGCGGGGCGCGGGCGGGGTCCCTAACGCCGGCCGAGGGGGTCTCTAACCCCGGCCCCCAAGCTGGGCGCGGCGTCCCGCGGTCCCTCGGAAAGCCCCCCAGTCTGGCCTCCCCAGGCAGAGCTAAGTGGGACAATGTGGGAGCGGACGGGGGGGCGAGGGGCCAGCACGTGCCGAGTTAAGGTCACGGTGCGGGAGGAAGGAGGCGGCGCAGAACGCGGGCTGGACAGAGCCTGGCTGGGCGTCTCTCAGAGCCCCGGGTTCGAATCCCGCCTCTGTCCATTCCTTCATCTTTCTGAGCCTCAGTTTCCTCGTCTGTAAAATGGGACAAAGACGTCCCCTCTCAAAGTTTGGGGGGAGATTAAACAAGGTGGTGAACAGAAAAGGAGCTGAGCATTTGCTGTTCCCTCTACTTACAACTCTCTTACCATCTACCCCCTCCCAACACGTCCCCGCGTGGCCGGCTCCTTCCCACCACCCTGGTCTCAGCTAAGGGTCGCCTCCTCGGAGTGGCTGTGCCTGACCACTCTGTGTGAGGGTTCCCTCTTGCTCTGGCCGCTGCCCGGCTCACTACCGGTTTGTTTCTGCGGGAACTTTGTTTACAGCTGTAAGCCCAGAGCCGAGGACAGCGCCAGGCACATTCTTTCCGGCTGCCAAGGTTGGCGAAGGGAAAGGGGTGGCTGAGAACCCACTTTGGTGGCGATCGCCGCATGTGGTCGCGGCGTGCGTCGTGGCAAAGACTGCGGGATTCGGAATCAGAAGATCTGAGGAGCTGGCTCCATGTCTCGTAGCCTCAATTTCTACCTCCGCGAAATGGGGCGAATGATAAAAGCCGCCTTCAGCGGGCTACAGGGGCGAATAGGAGGGAGGTCGAAGACGCGGCCCAGAGCTTGACCAGGTGCCTTGAAGTGGCAGTGGGGGGGCGCGTCCTCACAGTCGAGAGCTGCCACCACCCGGAGTGCTTCGGCTTCCAGGGAGAATCCTTGAGTGATGCCAGGGGCCCAGGTGGTCTCCAGAGGGTAGATGAGACTATTGTTACGGCTATTATTATTATTCTTATTTTAAATATTATACGAGCAAAATGGAGGTGGGCTGGGCTGGGCTCGCGGGGGAGGACTGAGGACAAAGGTGTCACAGGTGGGCCCCGCAGGGTGGGATGCGTGCCCTGCCCAGCTCAGGACGAGGCTAGGCTGGGTGCAGCGGAGCCCTGCCCTGCGCTCTCTAACCTGGGAGGGCGCCAGTTCTCAGCCATGACGGTGCCTCAGCACCGGGAGCTTAAAGAAACGAACATAAGCACTTATTCCTTCATTCCTCGGCAAATTTTTATTGCACACCTACCATACGCCCAGTACTATTCTAGGAGCTGGGGATACGGCAGTGAGAAAAAAGAGACCAAAACATTTCCTGTCCTCCTGGAGCTTACACTGGAGTGAGGGCAGACGGGCACTATGTAAAATACATAATTAGATTATATAGGTTGACTGATGTAGGGGGTGGACAGGGAGGGCCTCTCTGAGAAAGTAACATTTGAGCTTAAAAATAGTGCTATCTAGTGGCTGATGACAAAGGGTGTTCATTTGTGAAAATTCATTGAGCTGTGTACACTTATGATTTTATGCATTCTTCTGAATGTATTTCAAACGTCAATAAGATGTTTTAGATGTAATGCTAACATGATAATAGTAATAACTACCATTTACTCTTTATGTGTTGACTAACTGTGCTTCCACTATGATAGGCATTTCCATGCATTATCTCATGTCATCCCCACAATACAACTAACATATAAGTATCATTTTTGTCCTCACTTTTAGAGAAGGGGACACTGGGGTTCAGTGTGGCTCTCTTGTCCTTGGACATAATAATGAACGATCCAGTTCTTATCCTCCAGAAGTTCAAGATCTAAAGCAAATATAGCACAGGGGGTGATGGGGAAAGTGTGGGTGCTGTAGGAACCAAGATGGGGGACAGGAAACTGAGCCCAGAAACCTGGTCTCAAGGCAGGCCTCCTGGAGGAGGTGATGACTAAGCCAGGAGCCGTATTCACCAGGCAAGGGGGTGGGGGGTGTTATAGACAGAGGCAAGAGCAAAGAGGAGAGTGTGTGTGGTGTGTTTGGGGCTGGAGCTTCCCTTGGCTGCACATGGAATGGGAGGAAGGAGTAAAAAACGAGTTCTTTGGGAGGTAGGCATGGATCAGAGCAGGAGGGTCATGCTAAGAAATTTATGTGGGAAGGGTCCTGAGCATGCAAGACTAGATTTGTGTTTTGGAGATACCAGTGTGGTCACAGTGTGACTGCAGCATGGGGGTTGGTACTAGAGATGGAGGTCATTGAGAGAGAGATCATGATGGCCTGAAATAGACATGGCAGTGGGGTCAGGGAGACATGACCAAGTTCAGGAGATACTGAGGAGGCCACATCAGCAGCCTTGGTGTTGAATGGATGTGGCCAGCGAGGGGCAGGGAGGGTTTCTGACTTGGGCTTTGATACCATTCAGAGATCATCCAACTGGAAGGTGAGGGTGGCAGGAGGAGGGAAGATTTGGTCTCAAGGGAGAGGTGACTTGAAATACTTGTGAAACTTCCTGGTGGCCCAGTGCCAATGGCAGGCAGGCAGTCTCACAAAAGTGTAGCGTTGGCACTGCCTGGGTGGCTGCTGAAGCCCTTGGAATGGGTGGATAAGGCAAAGGCCCAGGGTGGATCCCTCTGAGACCCTCTGGCATGCTCTGCCTCTACAGTGCCCTGTACTTCCAATCCTAACACTCACTTTATTGTAATTATTTACTTGTTTGATGTTTCATTTTCTCTATGGAACTTTCCATCATCTAAAATTGTTTATTTGTTTCCTTGGTCTGTGTATGCATTTCCATACCAGGACACAAGCCTCAGGACTGGGACCTCATGCTTCTTGCTCACTGCTGTCACCTCTGACTCTGGAGAGCATCGACTGACTGCTATGAATGGTCCATCCAGTGGCCTGACTCGTGGCAGGTGACACAGCCCCACAAGAGCACAGGATGACGAGTTTCCTTGTGCAGCGAAGTCACTGGGCATGAGTTTTACATTTTGCCTAGTACCGAAGGGTTCTTGGTTATTCTAAGTAAAAACCGGACAGAGCCCTGTTCAACTGATTCTAAAAACGAAATCTAAAGGACAGTATCTCCTCTTTAAAAATCTCCAAAACATGAGCACATTTCTGTTTTAGAGTTGCATTATGTGTGGGTCTAAGCCTGGATCACCTTCAGTAGACAAGCCTCTGCTGAGTAAGACGTTCATTCATTCATTCATTCTTTCTTTCTTTCTTTCAGCCAACGCGTGAACAACCAGTCATGTGCCAGGCTCTGCTCTAGGCAGAGGTTCAGAGGCGAACAGGACAGACAAGCTTCCCGCCCCCCTCCACCTCCTGGAGGAGGTTTACATTCTGTTGGGAGTGCCGACAATAAACAAAGAAACTAACAATAAGCAATATTCCTGCCTTCGTGGATCTTACCTTCCAGTAAAGCCATGAGCCCCAACCTTACGTTTGTTAGTGATTCATTTGCTAATTGGTTAAACAATTACATTCAACAAACCCTGCCTGAGCACCCTCTACGGACCTCTGTGAGGTGTGGGGATAAACAGACTGTGTTTACAGTAAGTCTGGGTTCAGTGAAGGAGAGTCAAGGAGAACCGTAAGACAGCTGAGTAAGTCCTCGACAAGAGGGATGCCTGGAGTTGCTATGAGAGGAAGGGACCCCCAGCTCACTCTGGAACCACTGGAGGGCTGAATTGATTTCTGCCTACAACTGTTATTTATAGTCAGAAAATGCAAAAACATATATGCAGAGGTTTTAAAAGGATGGCTGTTTGGTTTCTCGTCTTCTAACTCATAGGATACTGTGAAGTTGTTCTTGTGCAGCAGAATCAGCTGGAGAGCTTGTTAACAACACACACTGGTGAGTCCTGTCCTCAGGGATTCTGATTCAGAAGGTCTGCAGTGGGCCCAGTAATATGCACTTTTTAAAAAGTTTTATTATTAAAAAAGTTCAAATAAATGTAAACGAAGAGGGAGTAATACAATGAACCTCCATGGAACCATAAAGTAGCTTCAATGAATATCAACATGTGACCAGTGTTGTTTCATCTATAATTCCACCCTATTATCCGCCCCGCAACCCCATGCACAGGTTAATTTCAAAGCAAATTCCAGACATCACATACTTTCATCCATAAATACTCCTAGTCTATATCTCTAAAATAGATTTTTTTTTAAATCACTATCATATTACCATTAGCACAGCTAAACATCAACAACAATTCCATAACCATAAAAAATTTACAGTTCAAATTTGCCTTATTGTCTGATAACTTTTTTAAAAGTTGGTTTGCAGGGGCTGGCCCTGTGGCTGGGTGGTTAAGTTTGCACACTCCGCTTCGGCAGCCTGGGGTTCACTGGTTCGGATCCTGGGCACAGACCTACACACCGCTCATCAAGCCATGCTGTGGCAGCGTCCCACATATAAGAACTAGAATGACTTACAATTAGGATATACCACTATGTACTGGGGCTTTGGGGAGGAAAAAAGAAAAGAAAAAGAGGAAGATTGGCAACAGATGTTAGCTCAGGGCCAATCTTCCTCACCAAAACACATACCTTAAAAAAAAAGAAAGTTAGTTTGTTTGAGTCAAGATACAAACCAAAAAAAAGATCTAAACCAGATCCACATAATGCATTTGGTTGCTATGTCTCTTAAGTTTCTTTAAACCTGGAGATTTCCCCTCCTTATTTTATTCCTTCTCATTTATTTGTAGACAAAACCAGTTCCGTCCTGTTATGTGCCCAACATTCTGCAATTTGCTAACTGCATCCCTGCTGTGTCATTTAACATGGTCCTCTGTCCCCTGTAGTTCCTGTAAATTGTTAGTTGGGTCCAGAGACTTGATCAGATTCACGTTTTTGGCAAGCACAGCACATACTGGTGTTTGCACTTCCTATTGTATCGCACTGGGATTCACACAGGGTCTCTCTGGGTTGCTAAGATCAGTGGGTTCAGGTGTTACCAGGCTTCAGGTTCCTCCCACACTTACCCTCTGCTTTCTGCTTGTTCTTGTCCCCTGCTATTAGGACGTGATCACAGTTCATTCCTTCTTCATGATCACAAGATGGCTGTTAGTTGCTAAAGGTTCACAGCCTCCCTCACACACTTCTCAAAGACTGGAAGGAAAAAAATACGTCCCTTCCTCTGTCCTTTCTTAAGAGTAGGAAAACTTTCTCAAAAGCCCCTTGGAAGATTTTTCTTCCTGTCTCATTGGACAATTTATTTACTTGTCCATTCCTTAATAATAATAGATAAAGGGCAAATAAATACTATGGTAGGCTAAGATGAACCAAAATTCTTCCCTGGGGCTGCAAAGGGGTCTATCTTCCTCTAAAACACACAGACATCAGGTACATGAACCCAATCTGTGTTCAGTTACCAGGGAAGAAGGAGAGGTATGGGTAGGCAGCCAGTAGTGTCTGCCACACCATTTAACAGAGGATCAGCCTTGCATAACTTCATGCTGTGTAGTGGGAAGAGCCCTCTGGTCAACTAACAAAACATACATCTTGTCCATGAATACCTTCACTCCAGGTCCTTGCCTTGCTGGGGCACGTGACCTCCAATACTCTCCTGTTTGATTCTCAGCAATAGTTCACTTGTGAGAAATAATATCCACCGAGGATGGCACAAAACTTTGCGGTTCACTCATTTCTCAAGATGGAATCTTCAAAACTCGGTTCCTTGGTTTGGTTTGACAGGTGCAAAGAAGAGCCATGTCCCCAGACCAACAAATATCTCTCTCCCCCTTCTTGTTCACAAGAAGAACTGATTTACCAGCGTGAAAGGCTTTACTCTTAGTAGCCAGTGCTCTTGCACATAGTAAACAGGTCACACTCAGGAACTACGCATTGACTGAATGAATGAATGTGTGCTTTTAAAATGCATAAGTAACTGGGAGAAAATAGTTTAAACACTTAATGCAGTTCCAAGAGAAATTCCAATGTGATTTTAATTCATCTGGAAGTGTAAACTGATGAGACTTGGTTGAGAAAATTTTCACCTTTTTAAAAACTTATTTTTGCCTTTGTTAAATATCAAAGTAACATGTTTGCTATAAAATTCAAATTATATGAAAGTGTAGTAAAAATTAATCATCTCCCTTCCCCCCATCAGCCTATTGTGGCAACATATATTAATAGTTGGGTGTATGTGATTCCATACCTCTCTCTATGCTCCAACATAGATTAGTAATTGGATATGAATATAGTTTGGTTGTACCATAATTTCTCCAATCTTTCCCTTATTTAAGTTCATATGGGTTGTTTCCAGGTTTTTTCTTTGTTTGCCTTGTTTTTTGCCATCATGGATAATGTTACGGTGGCCCATCCTTGCACATAAGTTCTTAAGTGCTGGTGCTTCTATTTCTGTCAAACTGCTTGCTGTGAAGCGGGGCGCTAGGTATTTAACATTTCAATGACCTTGATGGATTGCTTTCTCCAAAAGTTTAACAGTTCACACTTCCACCACCAGTATATGAAAGTGCCAGTTTCTGCAAGCCCTTCCATGCACTAAATGTGATTACTTAAACATTTTTTTAGCCAAATGTGGAGTAAAAATGATGAATAATTGCTACTTTAATTTGTACTAGAGAGGTTCAGCACCTTTTCTTGTATTGATTGGATTTTTGCATTTTGTCCTTTGTGAATTGCTTATTTCTACCCTTGTTAAGCAACCTTTAAAATGGGCTCCCTGTGACCCCCACTTTGATATTCATTCAATTGTGTAATTCTCTCTCCTTGAGCGTAAGCTGGACCTTGTGATTCACTTCCAATGAATAGAATTTGGCAAAAGTAATGGGACGTCACTTCCAATTTTTTTTCTACTCTATGGTTTGTGCTTTGAGGCTCTTATTTAAGAAATCTTCCTTTCTCCCAGATTACAAAGAAAGTTTCCATTTTTCTTTCATGAGCTTAATCTTTTTGCCATTCCATCTCTAGACATTTAATCCGTCTATAGTTGATCTTTGTATACATTTTCTTCAATATAGTTAACCTTCTTTTTCTTCACCCAAACTATCGTCTTAGTCACTCAGGCTGCCAGACTGGGTGGTTTAAACAACAGAATTTTATTTTCTCACATTTCTGGAGGCTAGGAGTCCAAGAACAAGGTTCTGGTCGATTTGGTTTCTTGGGACGGTTGTCTTTCTGGCTTGCAGACGGCTGCCTTCTCTCTGCGCCCTCACATGGCCTTTCCTTGGTATGTGCGCCTAGAGAGATGGAGAGATCTTTCTCTCCTCTTCTATAAGGCCACCAATCCTACAGGATTAGGCCCCCACACTTAGGACCTCGTTGAACCTTAATGACCTTCTTAAAAACCCTACCTCCAAATACAGTCACATTGAGGGTTAGAGCTGTGACATATGAATTTGAGGGGGACACAGCTCCATCCACAGCAACTATCTGCTAAATAATCCATGCTTTCCCACCGGTTTGTGGTTCCACCACAATCATATTCTACTTTCCCACACACGTGCTCCTTAGTCTTTTCTTTCATCTGTTTGCCTGTTCCCGACCTGCTGCCACTCCATTTTGGTCACTATGGCTTTGTAACATTTCTTTCCATCTGGTAGCTAAGTTCTCCATTCTCTTCTTTTTCAAAATTGGTTTCGCTCCTCATGGAACTAATTTCTTCATATACATATTTTAGAATAAATTTTTCAGATTAAAAATCCTTGAGGAATTTTAATTGGACTTAAGTTAAAATTAAAATTGTTTTGAGTTGAATCAGCATTTTTTACATGTTTGTTATTCCATATATGAATATAGCATAATCTCTCCATTTATTAAAAAAAAAAGAGTGCCCTTTAATCGAGTATCTTCGTAAAAGTCTTTGCCCTGGTTTGCTTTATTCCAGGAGACTTTATAGTGGGCTGCTATCATGCATGATATCTTTGATACATTTTATATGTGGTTACTGCTGGTGTAGAGGGATTCTACTGGATGATTTTCTCATAACTTCATCTAGGCATGTGACAATCATGGGAGATGTGCTGCTCAGATCTCCTTCCAGAGAACCTGCTGCAGGGAGCGTGGCTGACTGACACGCCCTTGCTGCTACCATTCTGAATCCACCATTGCCTTCTGGCCCGCTGAGGCCACACTACAATGATGGGGCACAGGAAGGGTAATAGGAGTTGTTCATTCTTGCAGGATGCAGACTTTGGCTTGAGGTCTCCCTCTTGGTCTAGCTGAAACATTCTTAGAAGCATGTTGAGTCTGAGAGTCTTCCTACCCAATCTGCCTTCCCCCTCTCCCTCCACAGGTGTCAGACGTGCACTGCAGGGGAGATTCCCCCATCCTTTCCTGCTCTGTTCCCTTTACTCTTTATGGGCATTTCTCCCCAATAATTTTCTTGTGTCTCTCATCTTGTTTTGGCTCCTGCTTCTTGGAGGACTTGAACTGAGAAAGGAATAATTTACAGAGTAAAATGCACAGATCTTGTTTACTGTTCCATGAGTACGACAGATGTTTATACCCGAGTATCTCATACTACCAACTATACTTGCTGGTTTAGTTATTTCTTTCAATGGTCATCTAAATATATATATATTTCAAAGAATTCTTAGGTGAATATATGTGTATGATCACTGTATCTATTGAAATATGTTTTACAAATATATAGCATGCTTTTTAATCATATATCTATTTGTTCTAATAAAATTGCTACATTAAAAAAATTCATATTTCTCTGGTTTATCTTTCTCCATCCCTATATTTTAATCTTTTTGTATCCTTTTGCTTTAAGTGTTTCTCTTGTAGATACACATTAATCCTCTCTGAGTCTTTATATTTTTATACTGAGTTTTTTTTGTTTTTTGTTTTTTGTTTTTGAGGAAGATTAGCCCTGAGCTAACTGCTGCCAATCCTCCTCTTTTTGCTGAGAAGACTGGCCCTGAGCTAACATCAATGCCCATCTTCCTCTACTTTATATGTGGGACGCCTACCACAGCATGGCCTGCCAAGCGGTGCCATGTCCGCACCCGGGATCCGAACCGGCAAACCCTGGGCTGCCAAAGTAGAACGTTGGCACTTAACCACTGTGCCACCCGGCTGGCTCCTATTCTGAGTTTTATCTATTTCTACTTATTATAATTACTCATTTAAATTCTTAAAAAATCCTATCAACCTTATTTTCATGTATTCTACTCATCACACTTTCTTTTTGTTTTTTCCTCCCTTGTTACTCACCATTACAAAGGCTAAAATTAAGCCAAGTTTGTGTTTTAGTAGTTATGAGTAACCACCAGAAGAATAAAACTGAATGTACAGTTTCCAGCAAAAGAAATCTCAATCTATCTGATCAATTTCCGTTGCTGATTGCCATGCAT